CCGCTGATCTTGTAGCCGTTGTCTGTTCGTGTGGCTTTTGTAGCGAGCGCAAAGGCATCGGATCCGGATACGGGCTCTGAAAGACAGAAGGAACCGACGGTGTTGGTGGCGAGCTTAGGAAGCCATTCCTTCTTGAGCTTCTCGGAGCCGTACTTGAGGATGGCCGTGTTGACGAGTGTGTTGTGGACGTCGCACATGACGCTCACACTGGGGTCGACGCGCGCGAGCTCCTCAATGGCGATGATGGCCGATGTGAAGTTCATGCCTGAGCCGCCGTACTCCTCGGGTATCTCGATGCCCATGAGGCCTTGCTCGAAGAGCTGCTCTACTACCGCCGGGTCCATGGCTTCGGCCTCGTCCATGGCTCGCGCCTTGGGCAGGATGGCTTCGTTGGCGAATTTCGAGACGGACTCGCCCATGAGCATCTCCGTCTCGGACAGGTGGGTAATGGGCGTCGGCGGCACATCTGAAATGTCAATCGCTTCCCGGCGGGCGGCAGTCGTGGAGAGGCATCGTAATCTGGGTGGTCATGGTGTTAGTCTTGTGTATAATATCGCCTTCGTGGTGTTTACATACTGCGGGGCGGCGCGGGCAGCCGGTCGCAGCGAACGCGACGAAGCGGTGGCAACGCGAGTGAGGGGTCTTATTGAACGTGAAAAAGAAGCCATTTTTGCAATATTGGTTGAGAGTTGAGGAAACGAATGTGGCAGTCATGAAAGTCAACGACGGAAGCCCGCCGCTCACATGCCGAGGCAGCTTAAAGTTAGCCGGCGCAGGCCGCACCATGCATGCCCATATGTCCGGGGTTGTGGAGAACGCCCGTCACATGTCAGCCGCCACCAACCATTCACGCACTGTGCCGCTGCATTGCTGCAGAGCCGCATGCGGTCAGATCTTAACCACACAACATCAAGCCGTGGTAAGTGAATTGCAAACTAAATACTAAGCTATAGCCTTGGTCGACAACAAGCAGCGCAAGGGTATATGAAAAGGACGGCAAGCAAGAAACAAAGAAATCAACTGGTCGTAACACTGACATGACAAGGGAACAACAGCCTCTATTCAACAAGGACAGCTGCCTTCCAGCTGCAAGAAAACCCCTTCCTATTAAGAATTGTTATATCCGCAACTCCAACTACGCCCCCCCTCGTGGCTCCTAGACGCGGTTGTTGGACCCCATAGCAAACCTGCCGGCCTGCATCTGCGCCTTGTACTCGCTCAGCTCGGCAGCCTCCTTTTGCTCTTCGGCGAGGAGTGCTTGCGCCTCCTTCCTGCCTGCGCGGCGCTGCTTGATGCAGCAGAAGAGGATGATGATGGAGGCAATGGCTACGAAGCCGAGGATACCGGCGATGATGCCGATCTTGGCGCCCTTGGAAAGGTCGTTGAAGCGGTTCCTGACTCCGTGGGGAGATTTGATCTCTTCGAGGGTTTCGGATTTGCCCCTGTGTCCTGTTAGTTTTGTGCTGGTTGGGAGATGGACGTAAACTTACTGGATGACCTTGACCTTCTCCCAGTCGCCAGATGCGTCCATGCCCTCCCACGAGTACTTGGCAGCCTTGGTGTAGTCTTCCGCGTAGACGGACTGGATAGTCATGATGTAGGGACTCTTGTCAAAGTCTGTCACGCCGCCAGCCCACTCGATAACACCAGGGTCGTTCTTGTTGGGGTCACCCGCGGCCCACGATCCGAGACGGATGTTCATTGGTGTTTGAGGGTAACGAGTGCCGTTCTTAGCCTCATCCGGGGTGAGCTCCCTGACCTCCTTGTCGTCCACATACCACTTGATGCGGTCCTTCGTCCAGTCGATGGTGTAGTTGTGGTAGTCGTCCTGGGGTGCGAAGCCAAGATCAAAGTCCTTGCCGCGGTCGTAGGTCTCGGTGTCGCCCTTACCGAAGTAGTTGGTCAGGATCATCTTGTCGTCGCCGCGGAACTCCCAGTCGATCTCGTCGAGCGCCTCGGACTGCAGGATGGCACTGGAGATGATACCCTTGCCGGTCGCCACTTTCATGACTACCTCGAGGCGACCGAAGAGCATGTAAAAGACCGAGTTCGCCGTGGGAGAGTCGCCGGATCGTTCAATGGCAAAGGTCGCGCCCTTCTCGTTCCAGTCGATCTTGCCCTGGTTGGGCATGCGCCAGATTTTGTCGTTGTTCGGGATACCAGTCTTGTTCCAGTTGAAGGTGGCGTTTCCGCCGAGCGCCTCCATGTCGGGACATCCTGTGGTGTTGAGCGGGTTGCCTGTCTACGTCAGTACGTCTATCGCAAGTAGACCTCAAGTCGCGTACAGTCGGTGTGCGTCTGCGCAGTGGTGGTCGAGATAAGGCCTGCGATAAGCGCAGCCGTGGAAAGGGCGAATGACTTCATCTCGGCGTATTACGATGATCTGTAAGCACGATGTGTAAAGAGCGTGGTAGTGCGCGTAGACCAGACGCGCTGTTGGTGTTTGTAGCAAGGAGCGACTGGGATAGCGAGTGCTGAGTAAAGAGTGGATTCTCGTGACGAGAAAAGGAAAACGAGGGGAAAGTCGTTCAAGGGAGCGTCAGGGCCGCGTTTTAGAGACAGCGTGGTGAAGAGCATTTGGGGTGCTGCCCTGCACGCAGATTTAAGGAGTCGTCTAGTGCACAAATGCTCCCTGCCGCTCGCCATTGGTCGGCCGACCTTAAACTACAAACGGCGCTTGTCGATCCCCGAGAATAGCGACTCTCCTGAGCGCTTTGTGCATTCAATGGCTTGCTGGCTGAGGATCGGTTCATTGAATATTGCACTCGCCTCACTCGCTGTCCGTTGCCGTCGTTTGGTCGCGAGCAGGCCGCAAACGACTCCCCCAGCCGCTTGTGCGACCTCGCGCTATCGTGTCTCACCTGCATACCGCGGGTGGCTTTGCGCCAGGCCGGGAGCCAAGGAGATTGTGAAACACCAGGCACGCTGCACTGCGACCCTTGAAGCGACCGTCTGCTCTCTGCGCCACTCGCGCTGCCATGCGATATGCCGCTGCGATAGCGATACGATGTGGAGCACGAATCCTAAACGCTTAATGGATCCGCATCGTCATGGCCCACCACTGCCGGCCTGCGCGCCACTCTATACGAGCCGAATTGCCGTGCTGCGTCCTGAGGGAAAAGGCCGTTTGACCGTGCCCAAAAGAGTCCTTCACCCGTCTGTGCTTCTTCTCACACAGTTGTACCCCGCCGAGCCACCTCGTCCATAGACCTCCTCTCGGCGTCATTACGCTCTCCGTGGTTTCCATCCATCGTATCCGGGATTTCTCTGCCATCGACTGCCGGCACGAAGAACTTGCCCCATGCAAATGCAGGACCGTCCATGGCAAACTTGCCCTGCATGCGCCAGCGGCCCATGTACACGTTGAGTGCGACGAGGACTTTGGCGAGACAAGTCCAGTCAAAACCAAAGTACAGCCCTGCTCTCCCATCAGAGACGACGTACTTGTGCCAGATACCCCAGAGAACGATACATTCGGCCTGATCTCCTATGTCGCCATCGTCGACCGTCATCCGATGCCATTGCAACAGAGCCCGCATGACCTCGTTGCACGACTCCATGACCTGGCGCGGCGAGCGCGAGTGGATCACAGCCAACGTTTCGTATCGACAGCCAGTCTGCAGGAGCTGTATACACAGGAGCGCCTTCTCCATGCGACTCATCGAACCCGAGCTCGCAATGAAGCCTGCATTGCTCAGCCACTCTTTTATCGCACGCAGCTCGTGAAGCTTCATGTAGTGCAGATAAGGCAAGACGAAGCGAGCGTCCTCGATCCCTTGCATCGTCATCTCAGTAATCATGAAGCCGTTACAGCTACCTCGGCGCTCTTTGTACGGGTCGCGCAGAACAGGATCCATGTTGGCCTCCTCTTCTTGTACGCGCAGCTTGACTTCATCTCTCGGCTGCGGGAACTTGAGCGGATGCGTTGTGGGTAGGTGTAGGCTCTCCGAGCATTGCGACGGCGCTCCGTGGATGATGAGACGCGGTAGTTGTCTCAGCGCCTCGAATGCGTTGGCGCGTCCTGCTCTCTGGACTGCAATTGGCGGTTGTATATCTCCGACTGGTAGGCCACCGGACATGAGGTATGTATCTTCGTAGTGGTCGCCTTCAACAGACCGTCCACGCACGTCAAGAGCGTCATCAAACGCCTGCTTCTCTTCTTCCGCCTCCCTGCGAACATACGCTTCAACCTTTCCATTATCCGTCGACGTATTCCTCCTCCCTCCATTCTGCGGCCCCGAAATCCTGCGCAGCTTGACGCCGGTATCATCTCCGCTCTTCGGCCCTCTCAGCCTCTCCTCAAGCTTGACCACGTTCTTATACGACCGCCAAGCATGTCTTTTGGCATCTTTGACCAGTGCCTCGATCTCATCTCCAATTTCGCAGTATAAATTCGCATCGAGCTTTTCTAGATCGCGGTGCGCACTCTTCAGTTCGCGCTTGATCTCTGTAACGCGGGTAACGTTCGATCGCTCGTGTTCGGTGAGACCTTGGAGCCATTGGATGTAGCTGCTGACGCCGCGTACGTAGTCTTTTATATCGTCTAGTCTGTCTGGTATTGTGCCGACGGAGGGGTGTGGTGCGTGACGGCTTTTCGGCGCCGTTGTGCGTTCCATCGATTGTGGTTCCTCTGCAGTGGGCCCGGAGGTCGTTCCTGCATTTGCATCCGCATCAGTACCTGCATCTGCGATTATCGACCGGCGCGGACTGAACGGGTTGTAGAATCGGCCCATTGTACTCTATGATGGCTACGCATGTCGTGGCATAATTCTGTTGCAGACCCCGGGTGGTCGCTGCCAAAACGCTCTTCGCTTCGTGTACCCTTAGAGATCCACCTTCCGTCATTTGTATGGAAGGACATCTGGTATGCTCCACATACTTGGTCCAATACTGACAAAGCTGCGCAGCCAGCGTAGGAAAATGAACGTCGAATGCTGAAGCAGTGCGCTGACTGCTTTGATTTGGCTAGAAATTCAAACTCAAGATGACAAGCCAAACATCTACTTCCTCCCAACAACATCCCCCAGCTCAGTCCGCGGCCTAACAATCGGCTTCACTTCCCCCCTCACCTGCGTCCTTTGCTCCATCGCATACGCCAATCCAACAATCCTCACATCACTCCACCTCTCCCCCAAGAAACTAAACCCAAACGGAATACCCGGCGCCGACCCCACCAACCCATCAGGATCAACCACAACAGGCTGCCCATCCCCCATAGCCCCCATCGGTATACTCACAACCGGCGCCCCAGCAACAGCAGCAAAGGACCAAGAAAACTTCGACGGTAGAACAACAGCATCAAGACCGTGCCGTTTAATCGTTCCAAGCAATCCTCCTTTGTCGTCATAGTACAGACCTTTTTGATACGCCTGCCAGAATTCTGGGGTCGTGTTGTTCCAGTTGTCCAGCGCGAAATCCCAGACTCCTGTTGATTTGGCTGGGTAGCTTTCTAGTGGGCTTTTCTGCGTCCAGGCGCGTAGTTCATGCAGGGTGGAGATGTTGTGCGGGTTGAAGGTGAGTTGTTTGAGGTAGGATTCGATGTTTACGACGAAATCGGCGGACATGATTTGTAGGCCGAGGAGAGTGTCGTTTAGGAAGTCTTGGGCGGCTGGGAAATCGGTTTCCAGGATTGTTGCACCGGATGAGCGGAGGATGGATAGGGTGTTGTTGAAGGCTGCGACCATGGACACTGTTGTGCTGTCCGACATGAGGTTGATCACATTGCGAGGGACGCCTAGTCGTGCGCCTTTGAGAGGTGGCGCCCAGTTGAGGGGAACCCCAGGGGACGAATCGACACTTATTCGACAGTGTTTCGATTGATGACTAACACTACACCATTACTAACATTCTTTCGCTCGTTCCCGGCGCAACATGCGCCATTCACCCATTCCCGTGCCCATGCCAGACTTAGGCACATTGACGCAGCACCCTGGCCATCCAAGCCTTGTTCCCTTCCCCAAACAGCTCCTTCATGAAGTCCACATCCCCCTTGCTCATGATCTTTCTTGTACCCATTTCACGTTGGAAGTTGTTGAGGGCTAGCAGCTGCTGCCCGATGATCTTCTCTAACACCCCATCCCTATAGTTGCCCTGGTTGAGATGAAGGACCTGCAGAAGGATGAGCCAGCCGGTTTCCAAGACGACGCAGGCTTCCTTGACGTTAACCCAAGCCACGACTACATCATCAACAACCCCCGGTTCAATGCTGGCGACATCAGCACTGAATGCGGACGCAGGGTTGCCGCTGATGTCGTGGCTACAGATTTCTTTGATTTTGTCCTGCAACCATAGGGACAGTGTCTTGTCGTTGAGGAGGAGAGCAGGAGTGGGCGATAGGTTGGGGTCGTCGAGGAGTTGATCCAGGAGGATTGCCTGGCGGTTGTCGAAGCGTGTCGACATGATCTATTCAGTCAGCGATGTACAGTAGATGGAGGAGAGTACTCACTGATGTGGTGGGCGAAGCGGGTGTTGGAGGACAGGAGGATACCTTCAGAACTTTCATTTATCGCGCCCGGTGTGCGCACCCAAGCATTTCGGTACCAAGAACCCTCCATGGAGGTCTCAACGGACGCCCACGAATGGGCGTCGCGTTGATGGATTGCGGTACCAAAGTGATCTTTGGCAAAAAATCGAAAATGTTGAAATATCGGCCGGGGCTCGGCGCGCCGAGCCCCACATCATTTACCATCCAATCGCGAGCAGGCTGCGGGGGCCCTGCACCTCATACTTATCCTTATATACCTATATACTGTTGCTTGCAACACCAGATCGATGAATACAATTACGTGCGCCTTTGAGAGCGGAGCGTTTGCAGGCGCCGACAAAGTCTTTGTCGACGTTCTCTGGGATGGCGGAGGTGTAGTTGTCGTATACGTCAGTGCCTACGATGCTTTGGAGGACGTAGGCGGAGTCTTTGACGGTTTTTGTTAGTGGGCCGATGGTGTCCATGCGTTCGCTGATTGGTATTACGAGATGACGAGACGTATATCCAACGGCTGTTCTGAGTCAGAGGGTAGGTTGTTCACAAGCTCAGTTTCACATACTTGGCTTCATTCCGACGACATTGTTGACACTGGCGGGGTCGATAATTGAACCATATGTCTCTCCGCCCAGGGTGACTGTAGCTAAACCAAGCCTTCATCATCAGTCGGTATCTACACGTTGGTATCCTTACTCACGAAGCTGCAACGGCACTTCCGCTAGAACTACCGGAGGGATCTTGATGAGGATAGAACGCTCCGTACGTCTGTCCACCATAGGCTGACCAGCCGTTGCTCGAGTCCCATGGTATCCTAAAGCTGCCCCACTCGCTAGGATTTGTCTTCCCCAGGATGATGGCACCTGCCTCTCTGAGCTTCTTCGCGATAGTCGAATCAGATGGAGCCTTAGCTCCGACGAGCGCGTAGGAACCAGCGGTGTTGTTCATCTTGTCTTTTGTGGCGATCTGATATCAGTGTTAACTTTCTAGAAATGCAGATACGTGTTGCTTCAGTTGAATTAAAGTACTCACCGTGTCCTTGATGAGTATAGGGATGCCATGCATCGGTCTGAAAGTCAGCGGAAATTGTGAGTATCTCGAACCTTTTACTCACCCTCGCACTCTGCCCTTCGAGCGCTCCTCGTCAAGTGCAGTCGCTATATCCAGCGCATCAGGATTGATCTCGATGACTGGGCGCAATATATCGTTCACGTCGTTGATACGAGTGATATAAGTCTGTTTGGCAACGTTAATGGACGAATTCGGGGATGCTGTTCAATGCCAGCAACTTGCCTTGACAAGATCGACACTAGTAAAATGATTTTGCTCCAAGCCCTTGGTCACCGACTCGATATCGGCTTCGTACAAGCTCGGGAACTCACCTCTTCCGGCACGTTGATTGAAGTGCCATCCCGAGCCTACGCCGCCGATGATCAGCGCGCCTAAGAGGATTCCGTAAACCATAGCTTTCGAAAGACCACGCCGATGAGCAGTGGTATCGCGGGATTCGTCTGTGGGTATACGATGATATGACGGGTCTGCAGGGGCGCAGTAGTTGAGTAGTCTCTCAAGCGGATGCGGTAGCCACGACTTGGTTGGTGTGTCGCCAGTCGGCATGGAGCGAAGTCTCTCGGTGGAAGGCTTCATAGTATTGACCGTGACAACACTTCTCTGTAGCTGACATACTGCCACGTTCGAAAAAGCCGTATTTGGTCATGTCCTGGAAGTTGGTGCTCAGTTGCGGTAGGAGCGGGTGACTAGCGCGGAGTTTGGCCCCGCACCTGCAGGACGATGATGGCAGCGAACAAATACATCGCAGCTTCCTTTCTATACCCCCACCTTATACAAGGGAAAAGCCAAACACTCTAGAGCCTACTTTGACGTTAGGCCACCTACTTTGCATATTTTCATCTCGATGTAGGCTCTAGGGTATTCAGTTCTCCCATTGCATGAGGTGACCCCATCCAAACCCCTCCGTCGTCGCCGCATCAACATGAGTGGCTGTCGAGAGTATCTGCATGTCTCACGCTGGCATGGCTGTCACTGATAAATCGTTGTTTACATCAAGTTATTGCTCTTGTTCGCTACGATGAGCAGCTTCAACCAGACTATAATAACAAGCAAACAGATCTCGTCTCCAGTCTGACCTGCACACCTACATCTCTTCGCTTTCACCGCCGCCTTCACCTTCGCCGTCCTTCTCATCATCCGAATCGCTCTCGTCAAACTCTGTTGTTGCGTAGTAGTCCAATTGCCAGCTTTCGACTTCCCTCCGGCTTGGCCAATGTTTCCAATCATACCAATTCATCACGATCGACTCAAACCTGTGAATGTCCAATGGATAGCCCAGGATTCTTGGAGACCAACGTTCTATCGAACCGGCTATTCGCTGCCACGCTCGTCCATGGCCCGCTAGTTGCTCTACGTCTTCCTCAAACGAGCCCAAGACTCCTTTGCACCGGCAGGCATAACAGTCTAGATATGCGTGCACAAGCCCGTTGAGGATAGTGGCTATGCGGCCCGAGGCGACGATCCCTAGATTATCATAGCCTTCGTCGCCGACCTGGTTAAAGCAACACATACTGATCAGAGGTCCTCCTTTGTCGGCATGATAGTAGGTGGCAATTCGCTGTGGTGTTTCGCTCCAATCTTGCCATCCGAAGTCCACTTTCATCTTGTCGTCTTCTGATGATGTTGGGAATAGGAGAGTGGAGAGGACATTGATCAGCTTCCTCATCTCAGGCTCGGTGACATCCCTGCCATCGTCTCGGTCTAATTTTTGTAACAAGGAGTCTGCCGAGTTATCTTTACGCCATGTCTTCCAAGTATTGTATGCGACGTTTTGTTGGCTGCTCAAACCACACTTGCCCAGCGAAATTCTACTCTCGATCTCATCAGCAAGTTGAAGAGCATGGTGACCTTCTCTACGCAACGGCGCTCGCTTCCGATATCCTGGCTGACCAGGAATCCCTTCGGCAGCAATAACTTCCCCAAAGCAGTGCGTACATGCTGGCTGGTTCTTCTTTTCCGCTAAGCGCTGCGACTTCCTTCTTCCTTCCAGCTCGGTAATCATTTCGAGAAACTCATCAGTCGTATCAGGTGGCATTTCGCGATACAATGAAGTGAGAGTGGTCATAATCGTTGATCTTTTGTATTTGTATTGACAAGACTATGGGGCTTGTTACTTCCTGGTTTCTTTGGTCCTTTGCCAACGGCTTACGCAGCAGATATATAGTAATGTTGGCGTAAGTTTGATCTTGCACATGACCTCTGGAAAGCTTCCCTCATTGCTTGTGACCTCAGCTGGAGACATCTTCCACATGCTTGTTACGATCGTAGAGGATTTGAGTGTTCGAGAGGCAAACATATTGGCGTGCCTTCGCACTGTGTCAATGCGACTTGCTGAGGAACACCCTTCTGCTTACCAAGCTCAACATAATCCCCAGTGTGTACGTTTACAAGCGTCTTCATCGTAAGCGAGACAGGCGTCATGTCATGCAATATTTAGAAGACGGACGAGTCAAAAGAGCATATTTCAAGATCAATCTGGTAAATCCTCTTGCCAGTAACAACATCGCTAATGAAACTTGTAGTAGCTGCTGCCCGACACTGCTGTATGTTATGCCCAATCAACACACCAGTTCCCACCCTTCAGCTTCATTCTCCGTAGGCCAGAACAGCATGTCATCCCAATTGTTGACAACAGCCTCAAATCGACACAAATTAAGCGGAAGACCAAGTGTATCATTAGCGAAACGTTCCACAGACCTTGCAATTCTCTGCCAAACTCTTCCATGTCCGCCCAACTGCACAAGATCTTCTCGGTAAGATGGACAACACGGACAAACATAGTAGCCGACATAGGCATGTACAAGCTCATGAAGCAATGTACTCAGACAAGACATGGCCCTGCCACTTAAGTGACGAAACTCTCGAAACGGTCTGACTTCCGATGCGGACAGTCTCACTACCGCATATGGTTGATCTGGACCCGCGCAAGTGCAGTCACCCATGCTACCCGGGTCAGATGGCTGGTCTGACCAGGCAAACCGCACTTCCATTCTATCCCATGGCGTGGTTTGGAAGAAGATGGTTGTCAAGAGGATGATTAGCCTTTCCATTTCCCAACTTTTTACGCTACGGGCGTCTAGGTGACCCAGTCGCTGCAGCACTGCATGTTCAGAATGGTCTTCGATCATGCCATTGAGAACGTCGATGGCTTTGAGTTGGGCATCTGTGAGATGGTCGCGGCTGGCTTTTGACCCATTCATCATCAGATCGCTGAGTTGAGAAGCCTGATGACGCCAGAAGCGCAATGGTGTCCGCTCGTCGGCCTGGTTGCCGAGTTTGTTGTGGACGGATGTGATTTCGATGACCGTGTTGCAGCAGTTCTTGCATGTTCTGGGAGTCGTTTCATCTTTTGAGAGCTTGACGGGATTGGCTTCGTGGTACTCCTTGATCATGTAAAGAAACTCGTGTGGCGTTCTGGGCGGCTCACACCGATGTGAGGGTCGAGCACTTTCGTAAGGAGTATAACGTGATGTCAGCTTATCAGTCCTTACGAGCGACATCGTTTTGTTTTTGTTAAGGAAGAAGGAGTAAAGTACTATATGTCCTCCAAGGTAGTACGTTAGATTTTGATATATGGGTAATTATCAGATGTCTCGCAGTGAGCAAGAATGAAAGACCAGTAAACCCGCACAGATACCAACGATCAGAGACAATACCTGAAGGTCGTAACACATTGTGCCTTTGTATCTTTATAGAATCAAACGTTAAATGCACTGAATAAGCTAACATATCAAGACATTCAGTCTACATGGCACCCTACATGACCATCCTTTTGCGTTCCAAGTCCCAGTCCATAACTTCCTGCTTGGTCGGCCAATACAACGGCACACTCCAGTTAAATCGAACAGCGTCAAATCGTCCTAGATCCAATGGTAGTTGAAGAAAGCGAGGCGCATTGCGTTCCAGTGAGCTTGCTATCCGATGCCACGCTAGTCCATGGCATCTCAGTGATTTGACATCTTTCTCAAATGATGGACAGCGGCAAGCGTAATGATTCAGATGTGCATGTATTAGCTCGTGAAGAAGTGTACCCAACCGGGCTATGGCCCGGCCATTTAAGTGCTCATGATCGGGCACAGTGCGGCAGCTATAAGCCGACAGCGTGATTTTCGGCGGTCTGAGTCCAGGAGGCGAATATTGACCGTAGACCTCTCGACCTGATCTTGAAGTTACCCAGTCGAAGTCCAGTAGCATGGTTCCGTCGCGAAAGAAGATCGTTGACAATAATCGCATCAGGTGCTTCATTTCGGCTTTTGGGATGTTACGTGCACCCGTCCCGCCGATTCCCCGCAACAATGGATCCTTTGTATCTTCTAGTAGCTCTTTGAAGCAATCAATTGCTTGCAGCTGCTCATCCGTAGCATTCTCGGGACCTGCTGACATAATATCCTCGAATCGGCTGGAAAGCCGAAGAGCGGAGTGGCTGTTCAATAGTAGTGGGTCGCACACACGTGTTTGGTTTCCCAGCTTATTGGTGCGCTTCACAGAAGGAATGGCTTTGTCGCAGTGATTTCGGCATTTCGCATTGGTTCTGCAGTTTTCGAATCGCTGTAGGCGGGTTTCTCTGTGATGATCGACGACCATGTCGATATATTCCTGCGGTGTAGTTGGAGGAGGTGGAAGATCTCGGGAAGTCACGGACATGTTGTAAGTACCAGAGTCTTTGCACATGATGAGTCTCGTTGTTTCCCTCCTGCAGAGACTAGCTATGTGGGTGATGATTCGTTGAGCGGCTTACTTGTAATGACCTCGCATGGAAGCTATATACGGTGCTGGGCCGCAAAGTCTCACACCGTGTGAGACGCCCAAAACCTCGGCCACAGCACGTCGCATCGGATCGAGACATTAGCTTACTGTAATGATGCAGATCAGTCCGAACCAAATTTTTCGAAGCTCTGAGAGACTTCCCCTCACAAGGGTCACAGCTGGAATGGTCTGGAGTCGCGTACCACAGATATTCACAAAGGATTAAGCAAACAGGTCTTGAGATATGGAGTAGGAATCATTTGCGCCTTGTTCAGCCTCTACCCATCACCGGATACTCTACTATGGCTTCAAATGGACACAGCATCGCTCACTATACCGTAGCACCTTTAACAGACCCCAAAAAGCTCTTCTACCTCCTTCTCCTAGCCCAAACCTTTGGCAAAACATGTCTCTGTGACTCTGAGGGTTGCGCAGCGTATCTCTACCTAAATCACCCCATCTCTTGCCGTTTGCACCATCTCCCGAACGAAATCTCCATTACCCCCGGTCAGCGACCCTACATCATGCTCAGGTCACATATGAGACCATACGAAGCCCTCCAACTAGTCCGCAGCTCCACTCAGTACTTCAGCAGAGTACAGAACGATATGGACCCCGCGCAAATTCAAGCGGTAACGGAAGTACGGGAATGGCTCCAGGAGGGAGGTCTGGACATGAAGCTCGGGTCGCGTGATGCACGCGTCACCCTAATTGTCGATGAGATGACAACACTGATTACACGTCTGATATCCGTCTTCTTCTTCGGTGCAGCAATCCCGTTTGATTTCGCTTGGGAAACAGGAATCTTGGAAACAAACGACTGGCTCGGCGTCACTTCGCCATTAGATCACAATGGTGTGGAAGTTCAAATTATCGCCATACATCCCACCAAAGTCAAACTGGACGTCACACTCGCTCCCAACTACATTAGAGCTCTGGCAATACAACGGCTTTCTACGTTGATGCATGAGATCATTCATGCCGTGCTCAATACACTGTGTTGTAGGGATTGCTATGCTTCGAATGATAATCTAGCGCAGCACGGGAGGGCGTGGCAAAGGTTGGCGTTGGGTGTTGAGAGGGAGTTTGCGCGGTTGTTCGGGTTGGACCTTGACTTGGGCAGGATGTACGGTGTTTTGAATGACATGGTAAGCGTGGGTGCTGATTTCAACCATCCGAGTAGACACGATTTGGTGACGTATGGGTTTGCGGAGGCGTTGGATGGATGATGGCAGCGAGGAACTGGCTGGTCTGGTATTGTTTGCTTATAGCAAAAGGAATGACCTTTGCGCTTTCCCTCGAAGTCATGCTCGTATGTGTTAGTGCGTCGTTTTGGCTGTTGGCAGATTGGATGAAGCACGGAGGAGAGGGGAGGGCTCGAGAGATGACCTCGCACTGGCCTTTTCTTGGCGCGCATGACTAAGCGAGACGCGAGAATGACGCGGGTCTCACAAGGCACACGAAGCATCACAAACATCGCTATCGACCTAGCCACAGGTCCGTCTGCGCAAGACTTGCTATCTCGCTTTCATTCTATCGATGTCTATGTATCTATCGCGATAGCACCACCTCTCTTTCGCGTCGCACCGGCACTCTGGCTCTGTTGTGCCTTCCGCATGCGAAAAGGGAAAACGAAAGCCAGCTCAAGCTACTGTGCTCTTTACCCAGATGTTCAGCGTCGCCCTTCAGCCAAACCTACTACAAGACTACCTCGACGATGGGCCCGGCATATGTCTTTCTGCCTCTTACGAAATACCAAATGACGGCAAAGAGTACGGTTCCTCCGAACGTAACTGAACTGAAGTTCATCGACTGTGCATTGACCTCAACGGAACCCGGCCAGAAGGAGAAGAACCACATCACGAACAGGTAAATGCAGGCAAAGATGTTGTTGGCCACGCCCAGCACGCCGGGAACTCTCCATGGACCCCATTGCAATGTCTCCGGTCCGACCATTGCGGCACGCGAGTTGTACGGGCTGATGCCCTTGAGACGCCGCCAAAGGAGAAGGACGCATACGATGAAGTATGAAGCGTAGAGGCCCCCGATACTGAGGTTGACGATGTTGCTGAAAGCGACGAAGGAGCCGAGCGCGATGAACGACAGGAGCACGCTGACGGCAGCTGTGATAAGGATCGTGTTGACCGGGATCAAAGTTGCAGGATTGAGCTAACACCATCGTCAGCTACTTCAAAGTTCGAATCGTTATACGAGGGCGAATTGAAGGGGTCATACCTTAGTGACCTGCGCTGAGAACGGCACAGCTCTGTCTCTTGCAAAGGACCACATCTGCCGCGAGGTTGCGGCCATGAGACCTACCAGGCAGCAGACACCAAGAAACCACATGATCAATGCCATGGCCATAGCCCCACCCGGAGATCCTGTGCCTTTCAAGAAGACATAGAGGTAAGCGTATCCAAGAGTGACTGAGTTCTCCAAAACATCATTCAGGTCCCCCAGGCAGAAGAGGTATGCGACCATCATAGCAAGTCCAAGTGCGCCGTTGAGGAACACGCTAATCTGGATGGCTCGCGGCACTACCTTGGATGCGTTCTTTACTTCTTCGGCCATCTACATGCATGTCAGTTCCTTGGATTTCGACCAATTCGGGCGAATGACATACATGAACACATGAGTCGACACCTGGGAGGAAAGATTAGTATATTGCCTTCGTCGAGTCTGGTGTCTTATCACACTTACCGACTAGCGCGAATATTGACGATGGTAGCCCTACCATGAAGGACAAGCCCTGGGTTGACCAACCACCCGTGTTGACAAATGTGACGAAGATTGATGCGTCATTGTGAGGAGCCAGATATACGAGAGGAATCAGGATCGCAAAGAACCCCAGAATATGCAATATCAATATCACGCCTTCGAAATGCGCGAGGGTCTTGCTTCCGATAGTATTGATGACAACGGCAAACGCGGTCACTGCCCAACCGAGCAGCATGGCTTGGTACGGTTTGGGGGAGTAGTCGTCGTGGAGGATTAGAATCACGCTCTGTAGTATTGTTCCAGCTAGGTACGCTGAAGAAGCAGTGGTTGCTTGCCAGCCTATCAACGTCACCCATCCCGTGATATAGCTGAGAAACTTTCTGGATGACGGTGGAGCCAACATTGCGACCCAACTACGATCCGTCAGTAAATAAGCTTAGCCGACGCTTAAGAGAGGCTGCTTACTGGTACTGGCCACCTGCGGTAGGTGCCATCGAAGACAACTCAGACAGGACGGTGTAGATGGAGATTGAACCGATCCAGATAAGAAGATACCCCCAGAATACGCCGGCAGGACCACCGTTTAGGAGACTTGGGGTAGAAACCCTGCGGCACTGTTAACAACGCATAGCAGTCTATCATTCTGACATCGAACTTACGACAGGATACCTTCCCAAGTCACCAGGACGGTACAGGAAAACCCCAAGATTTGCATGAACCCGAAGGTTCGCTTCAGTTGCGGCTTCTTACCCAGACGAATGAGATCTCTCTCATCTCGAGTGTAGCCATCATGATCGGCGTCTTCGATGGCGGAACTGACCGCTTCTGCTTTCGTTCTGTTACCCAGCTCCATGGTGGGGGTAAGGTATGCTAAAAAGGAAACAACAGCACCAGATTTGACCGACAGTATGGTGGATGCGACGGAGGTAAATAGTGAGTGAAAGCTATTAAACCCGCACTGTAGCAGCCTCGTACTCAGATGTCGGTTATGCAGAGATTCATCCAGATTGTTTCGCTAAGCGCATCGAGCAGGTAACATACCTTGCCGCAACTTCTGTCGTACAGCATGCCGCGCGGGGATCTTGATAGCAGGGTCTACATGACGCCTCGACACTTTTTCACCGTACGCAAGTCAGCGATGTACTTACGAGACCCTCTTTATCCCCATTGCGCGTACATATCGCGAGTACTTTCAACAGTCTGAAAGACATGCTGTACACTGCGCAATCTGTCGCCGACTTCTCTATCCCCCCAGCTCAACAATCTTACTCTCCCCTCGATGCGGGGATCCTTACTCAATACGCTTCCTGTAGGATCCGGGTGGAAGTGACCTAGTTGCCGCGGATATTACCGTCCCGAGCGTTATCAACGTTGGCTAAGCCTCAAGCGTGTGGATCAGCCGCTATGGTCGCACAAACACCCACGACATCAGCAGGTCCTTCGTCCCTACCTTCCTCTTTTCTCGCGCAACTGCATTTCGAAAGGGTGTTCATGCACGTTGTCTTGCGTTTGATTGGTGACTCAATGTGATGCGTCTGCGCGGGTGCGGCACGGATCGTCCAAGCGACCTATTACACCGTTCCAAACGTCTCAATGCTTGCAACGCGTTCCGAAAGCTTGTTTCGCTGGCTATCACCAGATAAGTAATCAGCCTGTATCCTTGACGTCTTACGCGTCGTGCGACATGCAGGTTAGTGAAAAAGGCCAGAGACTCGTATGTGTGCGTGGGGGTGGTGCTAGCTAACTGGTGTACATCAAGAATCCTACGAGGGGGAAGAGTTGGAGATGAGTGTATCAGTATGTTATGATGTTGCTTTGGTCTTGAGATGTCCGTGAGCACCATGTGATTCCTGAATGTTGGAACAGACACAGATAACGAAAGGAGGGAGTTGTCTTCTCAGACTTGGACTTATCCTGGTGCGCACGCTGCTCAAGTGGTAGCACCATCTCAGTCATTGCTACAAGCGGTACTCCACCATGCTTTCTGAACGCAAGGCTATGGATGCTGGCAAGCGTCCTGCCTTCCACGACGGCCATGCAGCACCATTGATCCAAATACTCGCCTGGCTGTTCCTAGCTTTCTCCACACTAGCTGTTGTAGCGCAATTCGCGACGAAGAAAGCCATGTCTAGGCGACTGGTAGCTGCGGACTTTGTTCTGCTAGCGGCTCTGGTGAGTATTCCGGGATTAAGGCAAGACACAGACACTGATGAGTCTCTCCCTAGGTGTTGTCGGCGGGACAAGCCGCGACACTTCTCAGTCCAGCTGGTCAGGCTATTGGTAACGTACAAGCTGGCCTTACGACAGATCAGATTGATAGGGCCTGGAAGGTAAAGCCGACGAACCTCTTGGAACGCGGCGCTGAAGAGATCAGGCTTTATTCAGCAGCGAGATCCTTAGCATCCTTACGATTGTTGCCGCCAAAGGCTCGCTACTCGTCTCTCTGACATTGGTGACGCCCGTTGCTAGACATCAGAGAATGATGTATGCCACTGGTGTTGTGACGCTGCTTTGGGGATTTAGTGCCGTTCTTCTCATCGCCTTCCAGTGTCCGTCACCACGAAGATGGGATATAACCAACCCAGAGTGCATAGATCTTGTAAGTTCAGCCGATGATATTGCCGGTTCTACGACTCGAACTGATGGATCTAGCGCGCCGTACGAACCTACAATGCTGCCATGAACATTATAACCGACCTTGCCCTAGCCATCGTACCTACAATGATGGTGCTACCGCTGCAAATCACATCCGATAAACGCCTTACACTAATCACAGGCTTCTGGTCGCGCATAGCGTAAGTAAAGTCTTACCAACATTAAGCTTGCACTAACAGAAGGTCCCGCAGCGTCATATTTGCCTCGGCCGCCCAAATCGGATACATCCACACCCTACCCCTACCCAGCGACCTCCTCCATTCGATATGGCGCATAGTCGTCTGCGGACAGATAGTGCAAGTGACGAGTATCATGACTGCGACGATTCCCTTCCTGAAGCCTTTCATGATGAGTCTCGACTCGGGTCTACTTAGCGCAAATCAAGCTTGTGTTGCGACGACATCCGGCTTTACCTCTACAGGGCATACGGGCCAATTATCGAGCTACATCAAGATTGCTAGTCAGGGCAGTCGCAACCCATCTTCTACCAGAGGAGATAAGGATGCCGATATCTGGGTGCGGAAGGAAGTTGTAGTGAAGAGAGAGCCAAGTATTGAGTTACGTGACATGGGAAAGAGTAGGTAACGCAGGATCGCTGAAGAAGAGTCATATGTCGTAGCTATTTTCAGCTCCCGCGTTGCACTAGATGTTCCGCTGCGAGCAATCCCAGAGCCTCAAACTCTCTCGACTGCGTCAAATTATGTGTCGCCCCCGGGCCACTCTTTTGTCGCGCGCAAGGCGCACCTTCCATTCACCTTCACTCATACGCGACGCACGAGCGTTCCACAAGATCCACCCACCTAGGCAGCGCTTTCCCCACGCGCAAACGCTCGTCCAAGCGGTGACGTAAATACACCACCGCGCTCTCACCTCCTCAGTCAAAAAAGCTCTTTCCACCGCGCCTCCGCCTGCCTCACACCTTCCTTCCTTCCTTGCCTCCCACGCCAAATCAACCTAACCACCCCCACTCACTCAAAACCATGCGCTTCCTCACCACCATCTTCCTCGTACTCGTCAGCCTCGCCGCTCTCGCAAGCGCGAACAACGACAAAAAGAGCGACGTGAGGAACTTCAGGGATGTCGTGAAAGATTGCGTTGTCGCGTGCAACTACGGTCCTCACTGCGCGCACTATTGCGAGTGCAAGGTGTACAAGCTTCTAGGCAAGAACATCAAGTGTAACAATGATCCAAGTATGTGAAACAGCTGATACCCCGCGGCAGCCATGGAGTGGGAGGAGGGATATTTTTGCTAACACAGATTATAGCGTGCAAGAAGCCAGGGCCTAAAGGTTGCGAGACGTACGAACTCAGTGGCAAAGTTCGTCGAGACGAAGATACTTCTGCGGCTGTTGATCAAGCTGCGTCCGCGACTGTTGACCAGGCTTCGTCCGAGACTGCTATTCAGGTCGACCCCGGAACCATCAATTACAATCAAGACGCTCCCGAGGACTTTGTTCAGACTGCTGATGTCAACGGCGACGACAACACCTGCGAAACACAGGGCTGCTCCGCTGCCTTGCCGTATTGCCTCAAGGCGTGCGGCTTTGGTCCCCATTGCGAGGGTTACTGCGCCTGTATGCTGCACTCGAACCCAAAGTCAATCTGTCGTCAAAAAGGTACGTGATAACACTCTAGCTCAGCGAGAGCTTCATTCCAATTCTATCTATACTAACTCTACCACAGGCTGCGTCGAGGCTCCTCAAGACTGCGATCAATGGGAGTTCACCGACCACGACATTGCTCTCGCTGGCCCGGAGACTGCCGACTATGAGCAAGTCGCTGCCGCTGCCAACGCTCGCGAGGGAAGCGATGATGACGACGTCAACAGCGAACACTGCAAAGCTTGCCGCGATGCCGGGTACGAATGCAGCAAGAAGTGCGGCGCCGACGATATGATCTGCAAGGCTCTATGTCTGTGCGCGAGCACTGCGGAAGATAACTGCGGCAAGTGCAAGTCTGTCGACTGCCCACGCACTTAAGGATGAGGGGACGTCGAGTGTCGGTATGAGCGATGATGGTAATTCTGACCAAGATGTTGGAAGCTGGATGAGACTGCGGGCTTTCGGGTTCACGTCCGAAACTGGAGGCGGTTCCTGGTCTTCCTCTCCCAAAAAGGATCACAATCTTCGTAGATCTGATATCTAATGACATGCTTCCTTCTCGGTCATCATCTTGTTTCACATGCATGATGGGTAAAACTGCGCGGTCGATCCAGAGGTACCTGTAATAGTCGTTGTGATCGCAGTGAAGCTCATTCGTCTCAGGGTGGTTGGAAGAGCTGGGCCCGAGTATGGAGTCGCATCTCGATGTGTGAGGTCGATGCAACGTGCCAATCTTTCACTTGATGGGCTTCCTCGCGTAGACGACTGTCCCAGGCAAGTACGCATGAGTCCGGTAACTCTTCAACTCCTTGCGCATCTGCGCTAGATGCAGTTGAGCTCGAGCAACAGACCACTGCGTCATGTCAGCTTAATCCACCACACCAACCTCAGCAATACTCACACCGCCAACCTGCGTCAACAGCCTCAACATAAACCCCTCGACCCCATCCATCAACCTCAGCTGATTCCACCGCCCAATATTCTTCAACTTCTTATCCGTCGGCCACCCATTCATCGGCCACTTATACTCCATAACAGTCACATCCACAAACCCCGCTCGTCGTATCCTCTCAGCACTCTCCTCCCAAATCGTAAACGTCTTGCCGAACCGATCGCCCATCTCCACCACCACTTTCCCCCAGGTATGGTAGAAGTGGTCTGGCCCCATTGACCCATCATCTGAGGTAGGACACACGGAGTGCTCTACTATTTCTATCCAGCCACCCGGTTTGGTGTGTTTGTAGGCTTGCTGGAAGAAGAAGTCCCAGTCTGGGATGCAGCCGAAGAGCTCGCGGATGTGGATGAAGTCGAAGTGGTTGGGCGGGAAGGTCCATTCGAGTGACACGTCGTCGATTTCGAAGTGGCAGTTTGGTGGGACCCATTCGGGTTGGATGGGGGAGAGGTCGGTTCCTGTTACTGTTGCTGAGGGGTATTGGTCTGCCATATCCTGTACATGTATTATTAGCCTGTGTTGGGGGATATGGCTGGGCAGCGTACAATGGCCCATATACCGGTTCCTGTGCCGCAATCTAATATCGTCTGCGGATTGACCAGGGGCGCGAGATGCAGCTTCTGGTCGAGCGTCAGGAGGTACATGTGGTGCGCGAAGTCCAGTATCTCCTTGGCCAGCTCGTCGTTTGGTCCCCAGTATGCGCCGTCGCGGTATGCGTGGTACTGGCGTCCATTCTCCATGCGGTGGTGGAGGATGGACGAGGCTAGCGAATCGGTCTCGTCGCCAAGGAGGCTGCCGCTGTCGAAGGCTGAGTCGGACGAGAAGCCAAGGCCATCGTCGTCGTCTACGGGGGAAGCTTCCGAGTCTTGTGGCGCTGCGTGGTGTACGGGGGCGTGTTGTTGTGGGTACGAGGACGAGGAAGGCGCGTCGTCTCCTAGATGCACGGCGCTATCCTGCTGGTGCAAACCGATGCCCTCGAAAGGCTTCGGAGAAGATGAAGACGCCATGGTGCTGTCGTGTGAGTGCGCGGCGAGGAGGAGTGGGAGATATCGACGCGACGCCCGGAAACGACGGGTTACATATTGGAGAGTTGGAGCCGATGCACTGGGAAGTTGCTGGACGCTGGCCGGCCGCTGACTCTCGTTTGGAGGCGTCTGTCAATGGGCGAGGGGTCTCTGGCAAAGTGGAGCATTGCACCGATGGCGCCGCGTTCGCGCAGCATCCCCGAGTAGATCCAGCGGATCGGTCGTCTGCTCCGGTCGCTGCCATTCGTTGATGCGCGTGTAATGCACGCGCAAAAGGAACGGTGCTGCATCGCCTGCATGGCTGTTAGAGGCGTCGGGGTAAGCGCGTGCTGGCGGCACTCTACCGACGTTGTACGAAGACTCTGGGTGTCCGAGGCACTCAGGCCATTGGCGAGCCTGCCAACAACGTCAAAAAGGAGGGTGTCGATGAATGCATCTCGTGACTGCTGGACTGGCTCATTTGCGGGCCGCAAACGGCGTCATTCCCTTCATCGCCGTTGTCTAATCGGCCCTTTTGACAGGCGGGACGGGTTGGAGAGGGTGGGCCAAGAGCACCTCTACAGTGGATACTCGAACTTTGTTGTAGAAGACGAAGAACAGGTTGAGTGTATGATCAAAGTCCATCGATGATCTCAGGCGACTTGACATGGAAAAACCAACTGCCGACGGCGAAGCCATTGCGGCGCAGCTCCCTTTTGTTATTATTGGCTCTGGTAAGCGAAGGTGACGCCGCATACATGCTGCACCACACGGTCTGACCAGCTCGCAGGAACCGCTGGACTTGCACTCGCACAGGGGCTCCGCAAAGTGTGTAACCGTCTATGTACACCGTCTGTGTAATGCAAAAGAGTAGCCTCATTCGAACAACTAGGCGAATATCCCGTGCGTCGTGTTCGAGAAGAACGCTGCCACGCATGGCGAGCGCGACTGGAACATGGGCCTTCACTGGGGCGCGCCAGTCCTGAAAAGCCTCATGCCAGATGGCTGGTGGGACCGCATCCAGAGCGTCCAGGTCGACCCGAATGTCCCCACGAAAGAGCAGGACACGTTGAAGTGGCTGCGAGGCGATACCGGAGCGCTGGTAGCAGCCATCACCTTCGGGCCTTTCTACCGCTTACGGAGGAGCAAGTTGCGCGACTTGTTAATGCAAGGCCTTGACATACACTTCGACAAGCGCTTACACGACGTCTCATACTCACCTGATGATGACTCAGTCACTGCCCATTTCGCCGACGGAACCTCGACGACGGGACGCATGCTGGTTGGCGCGGATGGAGCACGCTCTTCCACCAGGCAGATTCTACTTGGCAAAGAATTGGGCTCCATCAACCACATACCGTATGCGTGCACGTTTGTCCAGTGCAAGTTTACCGCCGAGCAAGCCCGTTTCTTGCGGTCTTTCCACCCGCTGTATCTAGCATGTGCGCACCCGAATAACAACTTCGCCTTCTTCGGCATGCATGATGCGCCGGACGAAGATGACCCGGCTTCCTGGACCTTCTTCTACTACATCTCGTGGAAAAGTAGTTTGAAAGAGCAGGAAGCCACAAAGAACTGGACCGGTGCCCAGCGCCTCGCGCAACAAAAGGAATTCGCAAAGGAGTTCTGCGACCCGTGGAGGAGTGCGTTTGAATGGACGCCAGACTGCACGCCGGTGTGGTATCTCGGGCTCACGGACTGGGACCCGGGCATGGAAGGCCATCGCTGGGATAACCATCGCGGCTTAATTACTATGGTGGGCGATGCTGTGCATCCGATGACGTACCAGCGAGGTCAGGGCCTCAATCACTCTGTTACAGACGCTGGAAAGTTGTACGAAGCTATCACTAAGATTCAGGCTGGCGAGGACAGGAAAGCTGCGGTTGATGCGTTTGAAGAGGAGATGATTAGGCGTGGGGGTACGGAGGTTAGGGATGGCACGGCAAATACCATGATGCTTCATGATTGGGAACGCGTTAAGCAGAGTCCGCTTTTTACGAAGGGGATGAAGAAGACCGAGGCTTAGGGGGGTTGGTAGATTTGGTTCTCGCGTTATATCAATGCATCGCGTCGTAGTAATGTACTACTACTACTACTGGGTCTATTCCAGCCCGTTCTGACCTCAATATTTGAGTATGCAGGCTATCCTTTTTCCACGAAGTGGAACTGTGGTTTGGTTTGGTTGATGGTACCTTGGGTGTGTCTCGTAGTAATGTACAGTAGCATGAATGAACAGATCTCTGGGCAGTCTCGTGATTGCCTCAATCTTAACAGTTAATGTCTCGTGTCTGAATTGGACGTTGGCGTAATTAAGCCAAGAAGATACCCAGGAGTATATCACAGTGAGCTGCCGATATGCGTGCTGACTGATGGTCGCGGCTTAGCGCGACCGTGCACATGCAGTACTCACGGTCCTCGACATCACACGCAGCTTCATTGATCGTCCTCGACACTTGCAGAGACACGATATCGCGCCGCTGACTCTATCGTGACTCTTCGCGATGATGGGGGTTGTTCTTTCTCATGAGCCGTAGACCCCTCATCTGGTGTCCAGGGCTCCGGCGAGATGCCTCGGATAACATTGTCCCAACACCATGACGTCGGCCATCCTCGGTCCTAGCTGCGCGATGCGCGACAACGCTCGACATCTACCTTCGTTCTATTCTTGATAGCTAACACTACGACCGATTCCTCGAATAGTGTACTGACCAGCTCAAATTACCTCACCCCGCCTTGCAGTGTTAGAGATCCCGCCCCCAAACGAAGATGACCTCCCCTTCCGAATTCCACGGCTGGCTGGGCCATGATAAGAATGCGGCACAAGGCAACATGACATGGTCGTCCTTCCAACCTAAGCCCTTCAACGCCATCGATATCGACATCAAAGTCTCCCATTGCGGCATCTGCGGCACCGACATCCACACCCTGCGATCTGGCTGGGGCGCAACCCACTATCCCGTATGCGTCGGCCATGAAATCGTCGGAAACGTCGTGCGTGTGGGAGACAAAGTCAAGAACCTGCGCTTAGGCGAACGAGTGGGCGTAGGCGCCCAGGCGTTCAGCTGCTTGAAGGAGGACTGTGAGGAATGCAGCGCAGGCATTGAGCAGCATTGCCCAAAGATGGTGGGTACATACAATGCGAAGTACCCTGATGGAAGCTGGAGCATGGGAGGATATGCAGACTATGTCCGCGTTCCAGCGCATTTCGCTATCAATATACCCGCTGGGTTGAAGAGCGAAGAAGCGGCGCCTATGATGTGCGGCGGCATCACCGTCTATGCGCCGCTGAAGAACAACGGCGCAGGTCCTGGGAAGAAGGTCGGAATCGTAGGTTTGGGAGGTCTAGGCCATTTCGGTGTCTTGTTCGCCAAAGCACTCGGCTGCGAGAAAGTTGTAGCGATAAGCCGACGGAGAAACAAGGTCGACGACGCAAAAGCTATGGGCGCCACAGATTACATCGCCACCTCTGAAGACGACAAGTGGGCGCGCAACCACAGCCGATCCCTCGACCTCATCATCAGCACAGTCTCCTCTCCAGACATGCCGCTCGAGTCCTATCTCCGACTTCTCCGTACAGGCGGTTCGTTCATCCAGGTCGGCGCGCCAGAAGACAAGCTCCCTCAAATCGCTGCCTTTGGTCTTATTGGCAAGGGTTGCAAGATCGGGGGTAGCCAGATTGGCAGTCCCAAAGAGATTGAGGAGATGTTGAAGTTTGCGGCAGACAAGGGGGTTAAGCCTTGGGTGCAGAAGCGCAATATGAAGGATGCGAATAAGAGTGTAGTTGATATGGAGGAGGGACATGCGCGGTATCGCTATGTGCTTGTGAATGCGGACCATGGGGATAGGGCGAAGATGTGAGCGCAGAGACGTGTAATCACGTTGTTGTAATTCAAACAGTATTATTCATATTTGACAGCTAGCAGAGCGACTCTGACATCAGCGTAGTCAAGTTTAGTGCTTGACATATCAAGTCCGCTTGCTCTTTTTGTTGTTTGTTCCCTAACGACCTAGCGCTCAATGACGGGGTTCTCTAGTCGGACGAGAAGAAATGAGCTTCGGGTTATTGACGCCATCATCGCTAATCCGCGATGGGCCCCAAGTTTACAATGCGACGCCGCCCCCGCTGCAGCATTCAAGGCGACAACGAGGTATAGAGTGTTGCTTGCCCAGCTAGAGGAGGCGGAAGCGACAGGATCCAAAAACTCAGCTCAGCGTTCAGCAGCCGTCAATGCCAGTGCTTTCACAGACTCATGGTCTCTTCCCCTCACTCAGCCGCCCAATATCGACGCTACACATGTCAGCACACCTCAGCGTCCCCAGAGCCCACTAGCTCGTCATGCACAGTCGACATCTTACCAGCCTGCTCAGTACGTAGCCACGGAGCACACCAGCTGTATCCAGAGCCTACCAATGCTCTCGCTATCAGGCGAACGCGAGCATAGGCAGAGGCACGACCCACCGTCACCTGCTTTCCCATCGGCCGATCCATGTCACGACGAGCTCGAGCTCCCTACGTATGCCACGTTCTTCATGTCCGACACACTTGGGGGTCTAGATATGTGTCTTCCACGTATGCCCTCGTCAATACCAGCTACAGGTGCAGGTACCGGAGAACAGACAATTACCATGGCGACGGCGTTCGAGTCGCTCCCTTACACCTTCACCTCGGACCCGCCAAACGAGAACGGATTCGAAGCGGGCGAAGAATACCAAGATTGGTTACAGGCAATATGCGACAGTGGGCATGAGAGTGAGGATAGGTGCGGGTATACTGACAAGCAGCCCGGCAATCACACCGTCGAGCACGCCAGCCAGTCATACAGCGGGCGTTGCGGCAAGCACACTGGCGAGCACATTATTAGTCCACCTGCCCGCATTGTCGAATGCGGTAGCCAAAGTCCGCTACCAGAATTGGCCGACGACGAGAGTGATGTCGGGTTCCAGCCAGCGTCTCCCAATGGGGAAGAGAAGTCTATCCAGGGGGATGCCGGGACTCAAGAAGTCATCGACCTTACAGGTGCTTTGACAGAGGCGGAGACCAAAGAGCTCGCGAATACTCGGGCCGAAAACATGAAGGTATGCATCAACGATATAAGGTATTACGCAGCGCACCAGTCCGCCACCGACCCAACCAACACATACTTAAGCAGTGTATTGAGCGTTGTTTTTACACAGTACGCCGCGTCCAACGCCAGGTTCCCCTTGCCTCTAATGCCACTTCCCCATCTACAAGTCCCCCTTTATTGGGTAAGCATACAAGAGTTGAGCACCACCGGCGAGTGGGTGGATGGTAACATCATCGACTGGATTGTTACCAGCTTCCCTCACAACGATCAGACATCGTCGAGCACAGCCTTCATCCCGACGCACAATCCAATCTACGCCGCCATGCTTGCTGGGCGGCGCGACGCGTCGGACGAAGCACTATCCGCTATAGCACGAGGGTACCGGATTCCTGGCACAACCGAATCGACCAATCGCATCATATGGGCCTGGAATCCAAGTGGATCACACTGGGTACTAGTGGACGCGAAAGTGGTAGATGGTCAGGGCCGAGTGTGCATATACGACACTGCCGACATGGTCAAATGCAACAGTCCACAATTTCGAGACGAAATCCAACGGTTTCTTGGAGCCGTCGGCACTGCCAGTCCTGATGGGTCACCGCTATGTACTGTCGACTGGGCACTCGTTGATGTGCATAAAGTGCCGACCATGAGGCAGGTCAACGCCGATTGCGGCGTTTTTACTGCCTGGTTCGCACGACTGATACTCCGTGGTATCTCACCGCCAGCCACTATGACACGTAGCAAAGCGACGGCACTCGGAAGATCGTTGCGCACTGCATTCGTAGAAGAGATCCATGTGGCGTTGACAAACGGACAAGGGGACAATCCCATAAATCACCATATTACGACAAGATACTCCGCAATCTGGAATGGCGAGGATGTCGAGGACGAGGAGGATGTCGAGGACGAGGAGGAGGGCGAGAACGAGGAGGAGGGCGAAGACGACGATCAAAACATCCTGATCAGGTCCAAAGCAAGCGCAGTACCGAACACCAGATTGGTGCAAGCGATCCTCGAAAGCGAGCCGAATGGCTTACATATGGAGGTATTGAAGCACAGGATAAGAAGACGCGGCAAAGCTGTCTACGACCCAAGTTGGCGGACCATGCGAAGTCCCGCGTACAACAAGTGTTTCCAGATTGTAGATGGCGTTCCGACTCTACCAAACCGCGCCGAGTACCCTGACCTGCCTGTATTCAACAACACCGCTCTCCATTTGCCGAGCACACCCAAGGAATTAGCTCTCTTCGGCTACGGTTCTCCATGAGGACACATACACGCCAATCTGGATTCCATACAACTTGGGACACGTCACCTCCGCTCTCACAATTTTCAGTCAACTTGGCGACTGTCGAGGGTATCGTCGGATGTGTATGGATGCCATCGGTCATGTCCAGAAACTCGCAGGTCGGGCTATACGAGTCCTAATTCTCTTCGCGGGGATAGATGGTGCGACATCAGCGAACAGCTCTTAGGACGAGCTGCTTCAAGAGTTCCGCCTGGTATCCTTCCACCTAACGAGCGTTAATACTGCTAAGTTCGCTTCACTCTACCCATCCGTCTACACATTACGAGGGAGCCATAGCTGGGCTCATCTAGACGTCGCGGACCTTGCGGCAGAATGGAGCGCCCGTCTCTCCAGTGTCAACGTTACTCTCCGAGTCGTTCAGCACCCGAAGCAACACAGGTGGCTACATTGGGCGAATATTATATACAAACAGAATATGGTCACCAGAGACGTCACTACTCGCCGTGTGCGTAGGCCGTTGTATAATGTGCTGTGCGTTGGACGAGGACCGCTGCTAGACAACATTGTGGCCCGTTTACACGATGAAAAGGTATGCGAACTTTGCAGCGGGAAGCCAGAGAAGTGTTGGAGCCGAGGACAAGAACGTGGAACTCTTCGCTGTGACCGTTGTCCACCGCTACCACTAATGTCGTGGGCGGTCTGGCTCGACGCCGTACCAACAGACGCACCACAAAATAAGACACTGAAGAGGAAGCGCCCGACATCGACAGAATCACCGCCCGAGGACGATGGAGACTTCACTGGGCCCCGCACGAGAAAGAAAGGTTCCTCCAAGTTGTCCGCGAACCCTGCTTATCACGACAAACGGTGCCGGTATGGACCTTGTCTGTCCCGTTTTACTACACTTAAACATGGAATTCCGGTGTGCAAGGATCACGCGGGACATTTTCACGTCTGTTCTAGTTGCGAATCATCCACATTCTGTACCGAATCTGATTCATAGCCCGCCCGTTTTCACAATGCGCAACAGAACTACCTAGGTAGCTTCGCACCGCCCCTGCATTATCTCATTATTCGCAACGTGCAAGTGATACGTCGCCTCCTGGCTCACACGCAAGCCGCACCTCCACCCATCAACCAAACCACAGCCCCTTCTCCCATAATGCGCTCTTCCTCACTGGCTCGCATCAGAATCCCACCCAGGGTACCGAATCCGCCCCAACCCACCTCACCAAGCCGCGCAATAAAGCAATGCGCGCGAAAATCACTCTCTTATCTATACTATCTTCACACTTTCCTTATGTCTTGGTTTACGAAGACAAAGACAGCGCCGAACGCATCCAAGCCGCCCACAGCATCCAAAGCACCCAAGGCGCGCATCGCCGGCATGCGCATTACACGCGAGCAGGCAGAACGCCTCATGGAAGTCTGCACAACACTCGAAGACATGATTGAAAAACAAACCAAAGACATATATTGCATTCACGGCGCCTCGGAATCGTACGCGTCGTCCACGTTGAGACGCATCAAGAAACAACAAAAGGACATCTTGAAGACGCTCGAGGATCTCATATATAGTTCCAAGGGCTACAAAGATGACGCAGCTTGCGTGGAAGAGTTTTACGATGCGCATTGCAGTATGAGGAGGATAGAGATGAGGTGTGAACACCAATCTAAATATCCCTGTAAGGGTTGGAGGACTGCGGCGGAGAGGTATTGGCCGTTGATCGCGGGGCGGTATGAGCTCCTTTTGGAACTTGTTGCAATTCTGAAGCGGGAGATTGGGGATGCGATTAAAGACGAAAGAATGTGGGCTGGAGAAACGGTCAAGCGGAACCATCGCATGGGTCTTGAGTGCGTGGAATCGGCGCTGAACCGCGGACCTCGAAGCAAGCCCACGCCCACATCTGGGTACATGTCTCTTGAGGATAGACACGTCACCTTCTCCGAAACAGTGCTCTGGCGGAAGTTTGACAGCGCAGGCCCGCCAGAGGAGCTAGGCAGACTGGCCTCAAACACAACTCTTCACAAAGAAGAGTTCACAACAAGCCTGGCTAGAAGGGGGTGTAGGCCGACTAAGAGCTTCAAGAGGAGGGCAGTTGAGAGTAAGGGGTGGGATTCAATGTTCAAGACGGATTGGTGGAGTGTAGGGCTGGAGCCTTGGGGGTCGGCGAAAACTAATGAGGAAGAGGCGACAGAGGAGGATATAGAGAGATTGGAAAAAGAGATGAATAAAGAAATAAGACAGCAGCTAGCGACACAACCATGGTAGGGGACGGAGAGTATGGACAGATGAGGAGATATCAAGGAACAGGTGTGCATCAAGGGGGGAGAACACAATCTATGATGAACAGTCTCATTCTGCACATCCGTACATTCATCTCCAACATCCGCGGAGAACTTACCACTAAGCACGAATATACTCATTGTACAACAATTCCAGTACCGACAAGCCACTCCAAACAGCAGCAACAATACAGATTGCTCGCAAGACTTTGTAAGAGAACCGCCAGATCCTACGAGATACCCAGTACCACTTTGGAACATCTTTCCAGCTCCTGCGCCGCCAGACCACACTGAAACAGCTAGTCCCACCCTCTCTATCACGCCGAGTCTGCATATCCCATAGACGCAAGGGATACTCGAAGTCCTCGCCATACTGAAGCCAAGGCTCGGGTATAATACCAAATCGTGATGCAACCCGCGTATCCTGGGGAACATTGTACCAGCGAAGACTGATGTGCCTGATACTAGACCGATTTGTCGTCTCGCACAACTTGTCGTACTCTGGAATAGTATGTGCGCCTAGGGCCAGGATATCTCGACACAGGTCCATGTGCGTGTCGCAGTACCGGTTGTACATGGCAAGTTGCGACCTGTAATTCCGCGGCCAGTTGTTACTAAAGTTGACGATGACGGTTGTAATCCAGGACCAGTGCCAGGGAAGGAAATTTGGCAGCCTGGTGGTACCTGCCGTGGGGTCTAGTGGTGGGAGGCGGAGTACGATCTTTGGTTTCTTTGATGAATCGCGGGCGGACGTGAGGATGCGTATGTTGTGGATGGCGAGGAAAGTTTGGAGTTGGGTGTATTCTTTGGATATGTGTTTCTTTGCTTCGTACTTCCATTCTTTGCGGATGAGGTGACATGTTTGCAGGAGACCGGAGTATGAGGCGAAAGAGGTGTTGGCTGGCGAGATGTGGTTGTAGATGTTGATGCGAACCTCGGCTGGCAAGGCTAGGAAGGCGGTTGTGGGCATGAGGAAGCTTGACGGTGTGTAGTAGCTCTTGTGGTTGCTACAATCGAGGGAGCTGTTGAGGGGACGTTCGATTACTTAGTGACTACCTGATAAGTGTGGAGGGCTAGTGCACGGACGAGGCAAAATCGCGAAGGCAACTGCCAGTCCAAGTGCTCGGAACTTTTCCCAGAGGCAGCACAAGATCCCGAGTGAATTGCAATTTGTTTGTTCTGAGATACAACTGGAAAATAAATACAGCAAAGCTGGCGATGGGTGAGTTGTTCAGGGAACTTTCACCCGCTCTGGCTCCCTACGCTGAGCCTTAGTGTATACCTTGGTCGGCTCGTTGAACCAGTAATTGTGCGTCTCCCATTCCTTCTCTGGTTTGAGGAGCTCAAGGTCGAAGTCGCGTAGAAGTTGCAGTATCACAACTTCGTGTTAGATTTAGCAGCAAAGCTATTAGATTATATAGTATTACTAGTAAAGCTTAATAGAAGTTTCTTAAAATAAAGCCTTATAAGTAAAACACTTTTATAGAATATTACAACCTCTATTAGCTAGAGCGGATTAGGGAGCTTATAGGAAGTGTTGGCATACATTATGCATTCGATTGCATCTCTGAGCGTAGCTCCGTCGAGCGCACATGCTCAACCCTCGCACGCAACGGAAAGACAGCCATTGTCCGATCTCGCGAAGGCGGAGCTTGGAAGGCGCCCAACATCTCGGTGGAGCCAAGTTACGGCGCAGTGTGGCAGGGTTTGGGTGAGGAGGTCCAATACCAAGGCTTTACTGTGCGACGATCGCGAGCTGCTTGTGGGTTTACGGTGGCGTTTTACACATGGCTCAACGTTTGTATGGATTCCGCGCTGAGTCCAGCTCCGATCAGATTGATGCCGGGTGGTCTAGAGGGCGTGGTTCAGGATGGCTTCCAGCTACTTGGTGCGGGTGGTATGGAGGAAAAACGTGGCATCCGCACTGTATCGTGGATGCGGCCTGTCGGCGCTGAGAAGCTTGTCTACGGTATCTGAAGGTCTGTCAATATTTGTCCAAGTGTTGCATCTTGCCGCGTAGTAGATTCCTCTCGACAATTGTGGCCCACACAGCCGGGCCGAGATGGCGTCGCGTGCTGCTGTTGCGAATCGGTACGCGTAGCCGCGTGACATGACCTGGTCAGACCACCGAGATGTGTGCAATTACGCGTGCACGAATCTCCCCGGATGCATCATGTGAGAAGTGTCAATAATCCATGTGGAATGCGATGGCTGGGCGACGTTCGCAATATTTGTGGCGTTGTTGGTGATGGTGTCATTAGTTCTTACGCGAGAAGGGGAAGTCGGGGCCGCCGGTGGGGCTAGCTACTTCTGCATCCGAGGTCGTCCCACGATTCCATCAACACATCGACACGCGCGGCCCCTGAGGATGAGTTGAGCTTCCGTACGACGTTTATAGGCACACAAAGAGAAGCGTCAATAGTTCTTTGACCTCATGGCTGCATCGGGCAGAGCTTTTCGCGTGGAAGCGCAGTAAGGAGCACCCTTGCGATGCACCGCTTTGTTTGCGTCGCCTCGGCGGCCTACGACAGCACTGCCTTTGCGTCTGATCATGGTTTGATGCAAACATGCTAATGAGGCTTGATCATGGTCGTGGTCGCACCTTCATATCTGGTCGCTCTCGTCCTGTCGTCATTTTTCATCGATCAAGAAATCTAACCTAACACAATGATACCCGCACTTCGAGGAAGAGACGATGGCTCATGCCCGGAGGGAGGCGTGTTCTACAAGTG